GGTGACCCAGGCAGTGGATTATGGCTAGTTTTGTTGGGCCCCAGAGGGCTTGCAAGAGGTCTAAGATCTCTTGTTTATTTTTTTAATAGTCTTTCCCTCTGCAGTAAGGAGGCCCATTTCTTGATAGATGGCCCCATGATTATGTGCAGTGGCAAATGCATATCTGCTATCTGTGTAGATGTTGAGTCCCTTTCCTTTACCCATCTTTAGGGCTTTGGTAAGCGCGATCAGTTCAGCTTTTTGGGCCAATGTACCTATTGGCAGTGGCTCAGCCCAAATGACCCTCAAGGTGGTTGTGACCGCTCCCCCAGCATGCCTTTTACCATTTCTGATGAAGCTGCTTCCATCCGTGTACCAGGTTTCTTTGGCATCAGGCAAGGGAACATCCTTCAGGTCAGGTCTAATGCAATGTACCTGTGCCAGAATTTCAGTACAGTTGTGGAGTGGGTCCCCGAGATCAGGATCTGGCAACAGCGTGGCTGGGTTCAGGGCTGTTGTTACCTGGAAGGTGATCCTGGGTGGATTTAGGAGCAGAGCCTGATAATGAGTTAATCAGGCATTGCTCAACCATCAATCGGGGGGTTGCTTGAGCACCCCCTCAAAGGCATGAGGGGTTGCCACAAGCAGGTCCTGTCCCAGGGTTAACTTGTTAGCATCCTTAACCAGCAGGGCCACTGCTGCTATAATTCGCAGGCAGGGGGGCCATCCAGCTGCCAGAGGGTCTAATTTCTTTGATAGGTATGCAATAGGTCTCTTCCAGGGGCCTACTCTCTGGGTGAGGACCCCTTTCACAATACCTTTACGTTCATCCACATATAGACAGAAAGGTTTACTTATGTCTGGTAGTCCTAGGGCAGGGGCCTCTAAGAGCTTGCGTTTTAGGGTTCCAAAGGCCTCTTGCCTTTCCTACATTCAGTTGAAGTCCTATCCTTCTTTGGTAGCCTCATATAGGGGTTTTGCAATTTCGGCAAACCCCAAAATCCAGAGGCGGCAGAACCCCGCGGTACCCAGGAATTCCCTCACCTGTTTTCTGAAGGCCGGTGCAGGTATCTTTAGCGGGCCTTAGTCAACCACCGCTGCCCCTCCTTGAGGATGTACCCTAGGTAAGTCACTTCTTGCAGACATATCTGAGCTTTTTTTGCTGAGGCCCGGTATCCCAAGTCCCCAAGTATGTGGAGTAAGTCCTCTGTCCCCTCCAGGCAGGACTTCCAATAAGTCATCTACATATTGTAACAGGCTTATGTCGGGGTGTTGGGCTCTGTACTCACCCAGATCTTCATGCAGGGCCTCATCGAATATAGTTGGAGAATTTTTAAGTCCTTGAGGCAGTCTCATCCAGTTCAGCTGGTCACTGATTCCTGCCTCCGGATCATGCCACTTGAAGGCAAAGTAGGGCTGACTGCTGGGAGCTAGTGGCAGGCTGAAGAAGGCGTCCTTGAGGTCCAGAACTGTATACCATTGCCGATCTGGTGGCAGGGTACTGAGTAATGTATAAGGGTTGAGGACAGTGGAATGAATGTTAATGACTCTCTTGTTCACCTCCCTCAAACCTTGTACAGGTCTATAGTACCCAGATTGGGGCTTTTTGACAGGCAGGAGTGGGGTGTTCCAGGCAGACTGGGTCGTTCTCAGCACCCCCAGTTCCATTAATCTTCTGATATGCGGAGTAATTCCACGTTTTGCCTCTAGGGGCATAGGATACTGGCGCACTTTAACAGGGTTCGCCCCTGCTTTGAGTTCAACATATACAGGAGGCCTGTGTCCTGCCAAACCCATACCCCCTGTTTCTGCCCAGGCTTGGGGAAATTTTTGGAGCCAATATGATATATCAGGGTTTGGTTGGATCGGCTGATGGAGTCATATTCCTCAGTCAGGTCGTTGGTGACTAGAACCTGAACCGGTGCCCCGTTGTGAAGCAGAGTGGCTCCTTTAGCTGTGAAGTGGATCTGTGCCCTCATTTTTGACAGTAAATCTCTGCCCAGAAGTGGATAGGGACATTCTGGGATTACTAGAAATGAATGGGATACCCGGCCCTTTCCTAAATCTACTGTTCTTTGGCTTTGAATAGGGCTTTGTTCCTGTTGCCCCCTGTACCCATGTAGTTCTGGAGGACACTGGCCCTCTTGGCTCCAATAAAACCGAATTCTGGGCACCAGCATCCTC